CTTTTCGACCTTAACATGACTATTGAGTCACCCACCTGCGAGCTGTCATTCAAATTCTCTACTCTAATAGACAATTTACTGTCAACCAAAACTTCACCTTCCCGACCCATGCCAAAAGACACATCCTCGACTTTGTCTTCTATAAAAACCTCCCAGTACCTTGGCGTAATGTTTGGCCCCACCCTTTCCCTCGATCCTATCATCTGCCAAGTAATCAAAACCAAATGTTACCAGCTCTGCAAAGATCTGACCCTCTCCCTGAAATTACAACAGTCTCATAGTTAGGAATTATTTATTAATTTATATAGTTATTCTGTCGGTCTTCAGTTCTTAAAATCTTCTCACTTAACTCCCCAAACTAGCTTCATCCTCCCTACTTTTCGACTTTAACATGACTATTGAGTCACCCAGCTGTCATTCAAATTGTTCTTTATTATGTCGGACCTGGTAGTTCATTTTTAGCGGCTTTATCTCTCTCACTCACTCACACACACACACACACACACACACACACACAAACATACTACACAATAAAACGAATCCAAATCATTATAAAATAGGAATAAAAAGGCAATTAAGTTAAAAGTTATATTAAAAAGGTAGGTCTTCAGTTGTTAATAGGTATGGGGGAGGGCGAAGTTCATTTTTATTGTGTTCAATATGTTCATAATTATTGTGTTCAATATGTTGTTAATAGAAAAATAAGGTTTCTTTTTCCTGCATTACAACAGCATTTTTAATAACAAAATTATTGGCAAACATTAGGGCATATTTAGCAGATATTCCATACTGCACTAATAACATTTATCCACACATAGGGAAACACATTTTGTAAAATTATGCATCAATATTAAATGATGTCACTCATATGCTGTTGCTAATGCAGGTTTTGCTTTGCCTTCAATGTAGCCTAGAAAAGCAAAAGGCACTGGTAATTGGTACTCCCAGTTTACTGGGATGGGGTTCGATTCCCTGCGGTGTCCTGCTGGTTTCTTTGGCATGTACATTAAAGATCATATTATTTACTACTATAATAATGATAATTATCAAAGTATTACTAATTAGTATCTCATAGAACTGACACAAGCTTCCAAAAACTCTCAAAACTGTCAAGAAATATCAATAAAATAAGTATAAAATAGGAATAACATTCAATTCAGTTATAAGCTATATTACAAAGTTGGGTCTTGGGTCTGCTCTTAAAAGTATGAAACTTTGTGCTGGTATAGTTGGGAGGGCACATTGGGGAGGGTGAAGTTCATTTTTATTTTTATTGTGTTCAATATGTTGTTAATACAAAAAGAAGGTTTGTATTTCCTGCATTACAACAGCATTTCTAATTAAAAAATGTTTTATTGGCAAACATGAGGGCGTATTTAGCAGCTAATCCATACTGCACTAATGAAATAGTTATGGACTTATAGGGAAATAAATGTTGGGAAGTTGTAGAGGTCGTATTTACCATAATGTGAAGTATGTGGCCATTGGGATTGTTTTCCTTTGAGATATGAGAAAACCGTGTTTCATGGCGAGCATTGTGTTGCCATGGCAACTGCATTTGAGGAAATCTCAAAACTGACACATATATGTCTCGAGGGCTGTACCGTTAGCACACATGTGAAGTTTGAACACTTTTTGACAATTTACACAGGAGTTATAGCAATATCGTGGTTAACGGTGAGGGATGCGTTGCCATGGCAACAGCTTTTGAGTGTTGAGCTGTTGATGGCCGGACCATTAACTGTCATCTGAAGTGTGGTGCCGTTTGGACGTTTTTCCAGTGAGTTAGGACAACACCGTGTTTCATGGCGAGGGATCTGCATTGCTATGGAAACGGCATATGATGACATCCCAGAATTGGCGTAGAGCTGTTGAGGGCCGGACCATTAACTGTCATCTGAAGTCTGGTGCAGTTTGGAACCTTTTCCAATGACTTAAGACAACATTGTGTTTTATGGCGAAGGATGCGTTGCCATGGAAACGGCATATGATGACATCCCAGAATTGGCGTAGAGCTGTTGAGGGCCGGACCATTAACTGTCATCTGAAGTCTGGTGCAGTTTGGAACCTTTTCCAATGACTTAAGACAACATTGTGTTTTATGGCGAAGGATGCGTTGCCATGGAAACGGCATATGATGACATCCCATAATTGGCGTAGAGCTGTTGAGGGCCGGACCATTAACTGTCATCTGAAGTCTGGTGCAGTTTGGACCATTTTCCATTGACTTAAGACAACATTGTGTTTTACGGCGAGGGATGCGTTGCCATGGAAACGGCATACGGTGAGATCTCAGATTTCACGTAGAGCTGTTGAGGCATGGACCGGTGATATAAAAGTGAAGATTGGTGGACGATGGGACCGTGTCCATTGGAGTTACAGCGACACCGTGTTTTATGGCGAGGGATTCGTTGCCATGGTAACGCCATATTAAGTAACATAACATTTGACGTAGAGCTGTTCAGGGCCGCAGTGTTAACCATCATGTGAAGTTTGGTGGCGTTGTGAGCATGTCAGTTGGAGTTATGACATCATCGTGTTCCATGGCGTTTGATGGGCCTAGCATCGAGCGAACGCGAACTTTGGCGCCAAATCACGGCTGCGCCGTGCGAAAGAAAAAAACTTCCGTGATAACTTTGAATTGCCCATGTCTCGAGATGCTACCCGACGAATTTCGAGTCGTACGGATAAAGTCCCTGGGAGAAGATAGATTTTGCGCGGAGGACGAGAAACGCGATAAATCGCGTTTTTTCGACGCCAAATTCAAAATGGCCGACTTCCTGTACGTTATTTTTTACCCCTCCAAGAGGCTTTTTTGTTCGTCTCCGCACCCTAGATATGCGTAGCGAGTTTCGTTCGTTTACGTGAAAGTTAAAGTGGGGGGAGTTTACGTTAAAAACGGAAGTGGGCGTGGCCTACGCAATTTTTTACGCAAAGTTCCGGAACCAATTACATATCGCAAGTTGCACCACTTCTGACGCGCGTGCAAAATTTGGTGAGTTTTCACATGTGTTGCGGGGGTCAAAGGTTTATCGGTCGCTGTGCGACCGATTTCAATAGGGTCCTCGCCGACCTAGGTCTCAGACTCTAATAATCGGACCAATATCAATAATGTGCTAGTTACGCCCACGTCACTGTAGGCCGTGGGCTACCTACTGTCATGATTTAGGCCACTTTTAATGGGCTTTTACCCGTCTTTTTCCCTGTTTTTAGTGGGTTTTGCTTGGTTATCGCTCGCTATGCGAGCGACTAAATTGATCGTAACGATATTAATTATGCGAGTTGCACTCACGTGGGCAAAGCCCACGTGACTGGGCTCGCACGGACTATCTGCCGTCACTATTTCCGAACCTTTTCTGTGCTTTTGTCGGTCGTTTTCCCTATTTTTGGGTGTTTTTCGCAGGTTTATCGGTCGCTGCGCGACCGATTTCAATAGGGTCTTCGCCGACCTATGGTCTCAGACCCTAATAATAAGTGTCGTCAATTCGCTTTTAATCTGCCATGTACGGTAATGTCTCTCAGCCACCGTAGTGTCGTGTCAGGTGGGCGTGTCGTGTAGGGGGCGTGTCGTGTAGTGTCGTGTACTGGACGCGGCCGCAGCTAGACCATATTGGCTTTTTACGCAAAAGGAGTTGCATCAAGCTGTCTAGAGCAGTGATTCTCAAATGGGGGTACGTGGACCCCTAGGGGTACGTTGGGGTACTGCAGGGGGTACGTGAGATAAAAATAAATAAAAAGGTTAATTAAAAAAATACCATGCATGATTACAAAAATAATCTTAGTACAATAAATTAAATAGAAAACACAATTTTATATAAAATATTCCGAGAACCACTAAGGGGGTCCTCATATAAACATGTTACATTTGTGTATTGTATTTATAGTTTTTCATAATATATCATTTTGTTCATTGGTTTGTTAAACATATATTACTTCAATTGAAAAACTCCTTGGAAAAAATACAAATATCCTTAGTTTGTTGTAATTCATGCATGAAGGAGTTAATAAATCAAACATCACTATATTGTAATTATTTATATAGGCTTTTTCTGTCAAAAATGTCCGGGGTCGGTCAGGGGGTACTTGGCTGAGAAAATGTTTCAAAGGGGGTACATTACTGAAAAAAGTTTGAGAAGCACTGGTCTAGAGAACGGCACAACACAACAGGAGAAATACCCCATAACATTAAAACATGACAAGTAGGTGTATAATTAGACCATTACATCGATTTAGGCTACTTCCTGACTTTAATGTAATTTACAATCTGTTGGCAATGCTGAACAGTTTTAAATGTTAGTTATCTTTCTTTAAATTAAAAACCTCGGACTTGGTTGACACTGACTGTTGTCCTGTTGGAAGAAAAAAAAGTAACTAAATATTTTATTTCATAGATGAATGATACATTTAGGCAGCTAATAAATAAATGCTCTCTATGAAGACAGTTTAACGCGGAAGAGATGACATGCTCGCTGATGCGTTCTTATTATACATCCATGGCTGATGCATGCAGGCTGTGTCATGCTGTCATACCTCACAACAGCCACAAGATGTCAATACAGCCCATAGTTGGCTGAGAAAACCAAAACAACTTCTGGCCCAACAAGCAGTACAGTTCCTGCCAGAATCTTTTCATTTACCAGAGGAAAACACATTTCCCCCTTCTTTAAAAAAAGACATATTCTTATATATTTCCCTTTGATATTATACAAAGTTGATAACCGTATTTTTTCAAATGTTGCCCTATTCATCTACGTATTATCCTTATGTTTGAGAACATTTTAATTTGGTATTTGTTTTTACTTTATAGGCTTATAAACTATACTTTAGATTACTACACATTGTGATTATGGGCTGTTAACAGCAGCAGAAAGAATGAAAACAAGGTCTTTTTTTATTCCAACTCTTTCGATGCCATTCATTGGCGCTCTCCTGGTGTCAATCCAATATGGGCGGCGTCAGCTGATACTTCCAGTAAGTCCTCACATGCTGTACAACGCAGAGAGTCAACAGGCTGTACGGGGCGCAGACGTAACATCACTACGACTGGATAACAAAAACAAAGCAGTGGGTTAACACACCGAGGACACTCACACAACTTTTGCTCACAGGAAAATCATTTTTAGAAAACATAACTTTTTATTATTTTAACACAAATTTAACCGGCTGGGATGTGACTTTCATGCAGACTTTGCGCCAAGGCGGAGGACTATTTTCCCGGACAGATTGATCTGTATTCGATCGAATTTCATTGGCAAAGTTGCAACTTTTTACAGGCGACAGGTTCGTCACATTTACATGACATTGTAACACTTGGCTCCGTCACCTCTCGACCATGGCGGAAGCGGCCCAGCAGCCACACCTGGTGGAAATCGACCCGGATTTTGAGCCCCTGTCGCGGCCCCGTTCATGCACTTGGCCTTTGCCCCGGCCGGAGTTCATCAACCCGGGCGACTCCAACACGTCCTCCCCGGTGCCGTCTGTGAAGCAGGAGCCCACCGGCAACGACTTCATCAACAACCTCAGCCTGCTCGAGGAGACCGAGGACTTCACGGAGCAGAAGCCTGTCATCCTGTGCAGCGATTTTCAATGTCAGGAGAACTGTGTCCACCAACAACCTCCACAGCAGCTCCATCATCAGCAGCAGCAGCAGCAGCATCAGCAGCACCAGAACCCGCAACTCCCGCATCAGCAGCAGCAGCAGCAGGTGCCTCTGCTCTCCTCCCCGGTAGGCTCCTCGTCCTCGGCCGCCGCTGCCGCCGCTGCCCAGAGAAAGAGCAGCTCCTCCCGGCGAAACGCATGGGGGAATATGTCATATGCAGACCTTATAACCAAAGCTATCGAAAGTTCCCCTGAGAACCGACTAACTTTGTCTCAGATTTACGACTGGATGGTGAAGAGTGTGCCTTACTTCAAGGACAAAGGAGACAGCAACAGCTCTGCAGGCTGGAAGGTACGTTTCTCTTTTTTGGCACTTTTATCCAGGAGATAGTGTGCGTAAATCTTTGTCATCTATAGCATGAATGGCGAATGACTGCTGCTTGTGCCTGATAAAACAGCAGCCTGTGCCAGTTCTCGTACAAAGTTTCCCAGTTTGTATGTCTGCAGTTCTCACAGGGTCTTGATTGCTCTTTATGCCATTTTTTTTGTATCTACTGTGGTATCACTGTAATATTCCCCTAGGGATTGCTGGCTTTTCTGTGGCGTTGAATAGTCTACTGTGAATATATAGCTTTTTTTATCTGAGCTTTATTGTTTATCACCATCATCTATGGTTGTCACTGTTATTACACAGGGTCTTCCCCACAAGTGTTTTTAGAAAAAAGCATTCATGGAGTTAAGTATCTGTAAAGTTGTTAATCATTTGCTCCAAGTCATGGTCTTATGAAACCATGCCCCCCCCCCCTCCCTCCTTGCATTGTCATCCATCCAGTTAATAGAAATTTAGACTAAACTGGCCAGTTGCTACCATGACCTGAGACAGTCATCTGACTTCTCCCTGCAGTATGTGATTTATATGAGTCTGCTGACTCAACAGGGTTTTTTTCTACCTTCTTTGCCTCTATTCCCTCGTGTGCTTTTCAAAACTGCTGTGAGTTTTGTGTTCAAGAAAGTTCCCCTCTGTCAGCTGTCACTAGAAAATGTATGATATATTTTAAGGCTAAATCACAGTTTTCCACATTAGACTCTTGAATGAAGTTGTGTTTGGACGTCTATGTCGTAAGGAGATACCAGAAGCATTCATGTGCCCTGGAAACAGTCCAAAGTGTTACACAAGAAGGGACTTAAAATGTCTGATGTGGTGTGGCAGGCCCTCCCACTGAACACTATTGAAGGGCGTACACCTCCCTTTGGAGACAAATAGTTTCAGTGGTGTCTGACAATAAATTGATGACAGTCTATTCTCTCAGCGGGAAATTATATTGAGCCTGTAGTCACACATTGAGAGATTTATTACGGCTTCCCTCTGTTATAGTCTGTCTGGGTTGCCGATGAAATGTAAAGCAGTTGTGGGGGGGTTATGTCTTCCCCTGTCAGAGCAGGCTCCCATGGTTGAGTCATGTGCTGAGAGGTGACACATTCATGTCAGACAGAATTTCAAGTGAGACTTTTTTTTACATTGAATAACATAGACAGATTAAAAAAACTATAAAAATAAGAAGCTTTTTTTTTACACTGGTTTAAAGTTGACAGAGCACAACAGCAATGCCCACTCTGACATCATCAATTTGACTACAGTGTTTGCAACAAGCCCAAGAATCATGTTGAGCTGTCAAAACTAGCCCTTTCAGAAAAATGAGAGTGCAAAACCCTTCAGTGTGGTGAAATACCCACAATAAACAAAGCAGGTACTGGATAAATGTGTTGCTAGGGCAGTGATGTTATTCAAGTAGGTCTGGTCCTCTAGGATAAATCATATAGTGGGTATATATAGTTAATATATCATGATTTACATTGATACTTTAAAAGGTTCAGGTGTATGGTGCTTTTAACTTGAATTGTCCTTTCTGATCACGACATTACATCTAATGTTAATGGGGGTGTGTGTTTGTGTTTGTTCCTGACTACATTTTTGACTAAACACCAGTTAATCATGGTGGACGGCTTGTCCAATTGAGGATAAAAGCCAATTGTGGGTCAGTGATAAGGGTTAGGGTATGTTTAAAAGGGAAGCGACCTTTATCCCAAGATGTAGCTTGTGGTGCACAGTTTCACAATTTTCATCATGATACCATATTAAATTGATTATTTGGACAACAATATATTTGCCGAGTTCTTAAAGTCAACATGAGATGCTAACTATTAGGATTTCTTTAGCCCTGAGAGCCGGATAAACTGAAAAGAGTCACGGGAAGCTGATAAAAGTTAACAGCATTTAATTAAACAAATGATACAATGATACAAAATGAAATGTGCAAGTGGAGGTGCTCTCCCTGGCCCATTCAGCTGTTGCCTGTCGCGTGTGCGTTGGGTCAGCCGAGGTGAAGAAAGAGGTCAATTCTTCCTGTCCATCACGGGCAACTCCTGTCCAACTGTAGTCTTCTTCTATTGGCCGGCGTCGACGGGGGCGTGTCCAATGCAAATCCTGCCGTTTTCTGCTGCTAAATTACATCATTCTAATGTCTGTGGTTATTTAAACATTCCCTAATAAACGTTTTTTCAGCGTCAATAAGTGAGAGTTAAAGACAGTGTGTTTAGTGTACAACACCACATGTAATTTCATCTTCAATTCACGGTTTCAAAACGTAGCATTCGCTACATGCTAATGCTAACCGGAAATGACGAGTTTACTCAGCGGAAAACCGGAAGTCATGTGTGAACATTCGGTTTTTAGAATAAAACAGATTTAAATTAAATACAGTGTATTTAATTTAAATTACGCCATATCAACATTGATTTTAATTTCTTACATAACATATACCCATATCAACTCATACAAATATAAATGTACATTTTATCACAGGCAAAAAACACCTACAGAGGGTTAGTAGCGTCTGAGGTTGCAGCATAAATAAAATGTTAACTGATGTTGACTTTAAAAATAGGATGATTATCCTGTACTCATGTCATTATTATTATATATTATGTAGACCATTAACTGTGAGTCAAGCTGCATTATTATGTACACTAGTAAATATTTATATTTTGCCAAGTATGCAATAGATTCAAACACTGTGAACATGTTGGTTAGTCTTCATGAAGGCCTAATTAATGGCTTCCTTAATAAACAGTGAAGTCTCTCAGTATTGTTCAATCCCTTGACAGTTATTGTGTGATTGGCGGCTTGGAGAGAGGCGCTCAGCCACCGCCTGGGCTCACTGCTTATCCTGCCATGTTGGGGGTGTAGACTGAGTAATACTGTGGGAAAGCAAAGTGTCATTCATTGCTGCGAGGGGAGTTATTCATAGAGCTCCCTTCGGTTCCACACAGGGGGGCTATCACACATTGTCTCTTCGGAGCGTTTTACTTATGAGCCGGGCAAGAGAGAAGCTGAGGAAAGATAACAATGTGAAATGGTAATTTAGTGGCCAGACATGTGTTTTTGGTTGAGTTGTTTCTTCTTGAATGACCTCCAGACAGTTAATCAATCAGTAGTAATATGCTTAAATCTCTCCATTTCAAATTTGACGAGACATCTATATTCTTTGAAATTCACAAGGATAGATTGTTTATATCTCTGACTGCATTGTTACATTCTGACTCGACTAAGACAACATGACTTATTGGAAACACAAAATGTGACCTCATTCCAAAGACAACTTTGCAAAAATGACAAAAATATTCAAACCAAAAAACCAATCCACCTTTGGTTTTAACTCCATCAACCTTCAAGACGACAAAAACAAACAGAAAGAGAACCATACATGTTCTGTAATTGTTATGTGGTGGCTTCTTCTGTGCTGTTACACGGTAATCAGGATGACAAAAGTCTTAACATCAATGCTTTCTAGGTTTCCAGGCACCTCTGACTGTTCAACAGTAAGTTCAGTCTTTTTGAAGTTAACCAGGGATCATTTGTCCATGTGACTGATCTCTCTGAACAGATGGGTCTCCTTCTCCTGAAGGGAACGGGCTAAAGCACATGTCGTTTTCATTAATCTATGATTAAGGCTGTCTGCTCTGTAATTGTTTGAGGCAGTCCTCCGCAGTCGGTCGTGTCTGAACTGAGTCATGACAGCCTCCACACTTCTCAGGCCGTCTGCGACAGTGTGAATTTTGAGGACAGTTGTGCCAGGTGGGACCAGCTTGGAGAATCTCTCAAAGTGGACTGGACAGAACGCCCGTCCAACTGGAAGAAGAACAGATGGCCTAAATTCTGTATCATCAAACCTCTCTGCGGAGCTGTTATTTATATTTGTCCCATTCCGGTTTCCTCCTTATTTCACTCCATAAGATGGCATTACTGTATGTGGTTCAAATATCACCCTTGCATTATAATATACTACGCACACTTCCTTGCTATAGCTTCCAAAAATCAGTTCTTCCTTGTATTTCTGTAGTATACATACGTCACCACAGGATAAATATTTGGTTTCAGCCAGTGGAGCTGGAAGGCTCAGGTGCTCTTTGATGTCAGTGTCGGGATCAATTTTGGTCGGAGGTTTTTCTCTGTACATGACGCTCTCTTGACCCGAAATTCCTCAACCTACGCTGGTAAACACTCCCACGGGTCTCAAAACAAACTGTGCCGGTGCAGACAAACACGCAGGTCCGAGCTGATTGTAGAGCGAGTGACACCGGGGTCGTTACCATGTAAATGCACCCGATGACTCCAATCCCTTTCAGTCTTACAGTAAACACTGCAGGTATCACCGAAAGGGTCCGGATACGAGATGGGTGTGGGATACTGGACAGGAAATGGCTCTTATGATGCTCTCTGGTGATTTATATTCAGAATGAAAATCGTGTTGTATTAATATTTGTGAGAAATCTTTCTTGTGCTATGGCATCAAAGGTAGCGCCACATCGCTGTCAATAGCGTAGCTTAATTATTTTATTTCTGTTACCTCTTGGTAAATATTGCCCAGCTCTACTGTACCTGATCATTCCATTGAAGGTATTTCTAACTGCTTTAAGCTTAATTGATCGGTAATTAAGTCTTTGAGTCACATAAGACTACTGTTTTTGTTTTATTAGCTTATTTTGAGATGGTGTACCTTTTTGACACATTGTTGTTGTTCTTTATACATGTGGAGGTGTAATTGCTGTGTGTTATCTTAAATGTCTTTTCCCCTGTAAACCCTAGGAATAAAGCTTAAAGAAATACAGAAGCTGAGACTTTTAATTCCTTACTTATCACAAAGCTGGTTGCACTTAATTACCGATCAGAAACTGTGTGTTTCTCTGTGTCTGAGTGTGTATAAGGACAGGGAACTGGAAAGAACAGCAGTCCTCCTGTTCCTACTGGTCCAACACACACACACCTCTCACCCCCCTCGAGGACTCTAACCT